AGCTGGTCAAGAGGAATTCGCCGTCGTCTTCTGGTGGAATCGACCTTCGAATCTCTTCACCCAACACTTCCACTCGAAATGGAAGTAATCCCAACAATTATGCAACAAGAGATTCCTCGAAACCCAACTTTTCTTCGCATATTAAATTAATTATGACTGTATTAAAAGAGCAGATTTGAGGGCGAAGAGAAAGCGACTTGGTCAATGCGCTGTGGACCGTGAAGTTCGGATAGATTGAACTAATGCCGACCCGCATGCGCACAGCATCATGAAGATGGGAGGACGCAAAAGAAAAGCGGTATCAGACTGACTCACTCTTACACATTCTCGCATACGTACAACCACAACCACAACCACAAACTGAAAACCCAAATAAACACAAGAACCTTAACTGGCGTATTTGAGCAGAGTGCATGGTTTAGCGACGTATGCCCACACGACTGGTGCCTCTGGCGGCTGCAGATAGCGCAGAAGAAGCTCATTTTTGTGTGCTCTGCGAGGGGTGGGAGGTCGTGTCGCATGATGACATAACCGATAGGACTGAAGTTAACCGGGCGGCGGCCCGGCAACCTATCCGTTCATCTCTTGGGTATCCCTCCCGACTCCGGTACTGAGGGTTGCTGTTTATGTCTTGAACAGATGAACATGACGATATGTAGCCCTCCTTGTCGCATGCCCTCTCGTTCTCTGCCTTTGCTTCTTTTTCATCTTACTTGCTCTCTCTCTCTCTCTCGTGGTAGCAATTTGCAAAACTTATTTCTGCGACAACCTCATCGCCGTGACAATAGGAAGATGGCCAAACTCGCGGTACAGAAGCGACAACACGACTCGAAAACTAGCATTTTTGCTTCGTCATAGAAGCAGCCATATTAACTTGTACAAACTGACGTATGCAATGAAAAAAGAGCACAGATGTGGCTCGACGGGAATAGAGACAGACAAAGATTTGGAGAAAGGAGCAAGGTAAAAAAGAGAGGCACCGAGTCCCGGGAAGACGGGCGGGCGGGATTCGGACGAAAGGCAATAAAGCAGGCGGCTCCGGGGTCCGGGACGTCAGATTGTCCCAAACGCAAGTTCCGCTTTCGGAGAATGCCGGTTCGAGGCCGCCTTCTCCTCCTCTGCGGCATCGGAGGCGACGGATGAGAATCGCTTTATTTCCAGTCTACAGTTTTGGCTGCACAAAAGTAACCAGTCCATCTGCCTCAAAGATGTTATGAGAGTATGCGAATGAAAGTTGGGTTTCGAAGAATCTCTGCTTTCATAATTGTTGAGATTACTTCCATTTCGAGTGAAGAGATTCGAAGGTCCGTTTCACCAAAAGACG